CCCCATTTGATTGCCTGTGCCCCCAGAAGCCCCTAGGCCAGCCTGCTCCCGCCACTCACGCTCGACTCCCCCGCTAGTTACGTGTCCCGGTACCACGTGAAGGACTCCTCGCGCCACGTCATCCTGGGCACCCAGCAGTTCAAGCCCAACGAGTTCGCCAGCCAGATCAACCTGAGCATAGAGAACGCCTGGGGCATCCTGCGCTGCGTCATCGACATCTGCATGAAGCTGGAGGAGGGCAAGTACCTCATCCTCAAGGACCCCAACAAGCAGGTCATCCGCGTCTACAGCCTGCCCGACGGCACCTTCAGCTCCGACGAGGACGATGAGGACGAGGAGGAGGAGGAGGAAGAAGAAGAAGGTTTGTATAAGTCTCTTTGCGGAGTCTCGTGAGCGCTGGGCTGGCTAGGGACCCAGCTCTGCGGCCGCAGTGCCCGTGAAGGTGGAGGTGAAACTTGGAGAGTTGGCAGAGACTTGGCTGATTTGGAGGGGCATTCGCTCTGGCCCCGGGAGCGGCTTCGGGAGCCTTCAGGCCGCAGGAAGGGGATGAGGAGGAGGGTGGCCTGTCGGAGGCTAGGGTGAGGAAGGAGCATCTGGAGAAGCGTGATGCGAGTCCCCTGTGTCAGCCGCGGGCTGCAGGAGAAGAGGCACTCCGGGGCCGTTGCATGGGCTGAAAGCCCCCTTTCTTGCTTCACTGGCCGGGGCGGGGGGAAGTATCTGGCAGCCCCGTGAGGGTCTGGGAGACTCGACTTCTGGGCAGAGGCGGTGAAAGCAGAAGCAGTCTACCGGTTTGGTGTGGCTCAGGAGAAATGTTGTGTCTTTCAGAGGAAGAAACTTAACCCCGACGGCGATGCGGAGCTGGAGTTCGCACACCTGCCGGCCGAGCCTGGGGGGCCTCGGGTGCCCGGGGGAACGCTCGTCTGCTGCGTGCTCCCCGGAGTTAGACTGCCGGAATAAAGTGTGTCACTTAGTCTCTCACCCTCGTCACGTGCCTGCATTATGGTCGACAGCCCTGCTTCCTTCTCCGGGAAGCCCTTGGGAGAGGGAGGGAGGCAGGAGTTTCTGGCTGGGGTTCTCCGGGTTCTGTCATTTGTCCTGGAGCACTTTTTGTTCTGCCGTCCTGGTAGAGGGTGAACGCCCTGGATTTGTCTGTTCTCAGAACCCTGGGGAAGTATCCTTTCCTGGAGAGGGGTGTCGGTTGCGAGGCCCCATAAGAAGTCCGTTTCCACAGGCACGAGGGCCTGCTCGGGTGTGCCGGCCCCGCTGCTGCCCTCCGAGACACAGTCAGTGGTACACGGGGAGGCAGGGCGGCCCCCGGAGGGCGGGGTGGGATGCTGCTCCCGGGGACACCGCGGAAGGGCCCCCGGGTGGCGATGACAGCGGTCTGGAGATCGTTTTCAGGCCGCGCTTGGGCTGGTGATGGTGTCCAGCTGGCACCCTCAGAGCGGAACGTTACAAACCACAGCTACAGCTGTTAGGGAATGTAAACTTTAATTTTTTATTAGGAGTGCTGTTTCTCATTAAAAGGAAAAGGCTAGTGTTCTGCTCTTGACGATAATTACTATGAAGTACTTACCCTGCCAGGTATCGTACTAAGCTTTCCAGAAATACCCGAGCCTGACGCAGAACATACAGATGAGGAAATGGGCTCAGCTTTTGAATAACATTTCTAAAGTTAACATTTTAATCAAAATAATTGTGCCTCAGAAACCAAGCCAAATTCGGAGTTACTAGGAAGGCAGAGCACAAAACGTGTTTCCTAAGGAGTTTTTCACGTATGTAGAGTGTTTAAACCTACAGATTATCCCTCCTGGTGTGGCTCAGTGGATTGAGCATCGGCCTGCGAACCAAAAGGTCCTCGGTTCAATTCCCAGTCAGGGCACACGTCTGGGTTGCAGGCCAGCCAGGTCCCCAGTTTAGGGCGTGCAAGAAGCAACCAATCCATGTTTCTCCCTCTCTAAAAAATAAAATCTTTTTTGAAAAGCGAACACTGTGCGTGCAAGAGGCGTGACGAGGGCCGAGGGGGTGCGGAGTCAGACCGACACCGAGCTGTCTCTAGCAGACCCTCCCTCCCGGTGCAGTCCAGCGGCGTGAGCCGGGCCGAGTGGGCCGTGGCAGTCAGCCTCACACGAATTCTCAGAACCTTTTACGTCAGCTTCCACATACTTCACTGCTCTGGTCAGTCTCCTGCTTTCCCCTGGCCTGTTGGGGCCACCAAGGTGACTCCTCGAGAGCCCTGTCTCGAACACCTTCAGCAGCACCCTGCTGCCTCCCATCCAGGCCGAGCCCAGTCTCGGGGCCCCGCCACACTTGGCAGTGCAGGTCTCCCAGTACCCACCAAGGAAGACCGGCAACTGCTTTCAGTACTCGATTATTTGCTAACTCCCACTCTCAAATCTTCACAACGGCTAAGGAGACCTCCGTACTTTACTTTTGGTGTTTTGCCTGCCCTGGCTGGTGTGGCTCGGGGGATTAAGCACAGGCCTGTGAACTGAAAGATCACTCACTGGTTCATTCCCAGTCACGGTACATGCCTGCGCTGTGGGCCAGGTCCCCAGTTGGGGGCGCGAGGGAGGCAACTGATCAATCAGTGTTCTCCCTCCCTTTCTCCCTTCCTCTCTCTCTAAAAGTAAATAAATGAAAGACAGCATTACAACTTAAAAAATGTTCATCCTGGAGAAGGCACTGAGGTCATCATCGTAAGATCATTTCTGCTCTAACGGTGCTCTTCTCTGATGCTGACACGGGCTATGAAAATTACAGGTAAGTGAAGTCAGGAAGACGAGAGAGGTTTCAGCTACTTTTTTTTAGGTTGATTTTTAGAGAGAAACACCAGTTCGTTGTTGCACTTATTTATGCATTCACTGGTTGCTTCTTGTATTTGCCTCGCACTGGGATCGAACCCACAACCTTGGCATATCTGGATGACACTCTAACCAATTGAGCTACCTAGCCAGGGCTCACCTACTTTTAAGATTTTATTTATTTTTAGAGAGGGGAAGGGAGTAAGAAAGGGAGAGAAACATCGATCAGTTACCTGTAGCCTGTCCCCAGCCGGGGACCTGGCCTGCAGCCCAGTCATGTGCCCTGACCAGGAATCAAACCTGTGACTTTTCAGTGTATGCCATGATGCCCAACCCACTGAGCCACAGCAGTCAGGACCAGCTACTATTTTTTTTTAAGATTTTATTTATTTATTTTTAGAGAGGGAGAGAAACATCAATGTGCAGTTGCTGGGGATTATAGCCTGCAACCCAGGCATGTACCCTGGCTGGGAATCAAACCTGCGACACTTGGGTTCGCAGCCCACACTCAATCCACTGAGCTATGCCAGTCGGGGCTTAGGACCAGCTACTATTTTTAATTTAAAGAAAAAAAAAAGCTCCAGCCATGCAAAGCTAGAGACTATCAAGTTCTTCCCATAATAGGCTTGGCCGCCCGTCCATGAGAACCCCCAGCTCCATTTCACTGCACTACTTAATGCCTCTCGAAGGTTCCTATACTTCCCTCATAAATGCACCGCATTCTACCCATGTAAATCTTGATAGAAATTCTGACAGGTTCTACCATCATCGGTTGGGGTCTGTAGGAGGAGCTAGGGTTTATAGGTCTTCCCACGCCCTATACTGGAAGAGCTCTTTGGTGGTAACTGCTCCCCACCCCGTAATTTCCTCTTTACTTCTAGAAATTGCTCCTCCATTTCAGTCTGGTTCAGTGTGTGCACAAGGCCTGCCATATTTTTCGTAAATACTTTTGATGAATTCCCTACTCAGTCCCGTGTCCAAGTGTACAGTCTCATGCTGAGGACCCGCACTCCCCTTCTTCAAGGCCAGCTGCGATCCTGCAGTTCCCCTGAAGGGCAGTTCAGCATCGTCCTGCCACCCTCCGCTTCAGCCACACTGCTGCTGTGTGGCAGCCGTGGGTTTACGAGTCTTTATGCTGGCCTATCACAGGCCACTTTGTTTACAAACAACATGGTTCATGAATGAATAAAAACATTTTGCAAAGAGCTCATAATTGAGTAAAACAAAGACTTAATTCCAGGCTCCACTTTGTGTGTGATCTTACACAAATCGGCCCAAACCTATCGAGGTTTTGGCCAATGGCTACAAAGTTGGAAACAGAATCATTGACTACATGATTGACTAGCAAGAATCATTGACTAGCAAGATCCAGTCAGTCATGAATGTTTCATCGAACAGACTGAATCACCACTGTGTCCAGGTAAGAATTTCCAAACCTGTGAAGAATCATTTGAGCCAAACAGAACATGCCTGGAAGCAAGATCTCAACAGACTGAGAAAAATGCTTCTCAGAATGAGTTTGCAGCTTTTATGTTCAAAGTACTGGCTCTAGAGGGTGGTTTCGCTTGAGGGATCAGAACCGAGGCCTTTCAAAGGTATGTTAACCTAGGGGCACAGGAACAATAGGCAGGGCTTGCTTAAGACAAACATAAAACATTTACTAAAGAACTTACATGCCTGGGGCATGACTTCTTATCATGACCCACCCAGTTAGGAATTTATCAGATCAGCCTGTGAGATCACTTTCCGTAGAATCCCTTCTTAGTCCACAGTAGCAAACACTCGTTAATTTGTTTTTCTGTCCTGGCTTCACCAACTTGGTTTCCAGGCCCGGGAATCTGGGTAGGCAACTAGTCTTTGACTACATTAATGGGAGTGTAAGAGCAGGAATTACCTCCAAAACCAATCTGCTCCCACGCCCCGCTCACAAATGAAAAAGCACTGCGTGCAAACGACATCCCCAGGTGCTAGAATCAACGCTCCCGCTCCCCCCCCCGCAGCCCCCCGCAGCCCCAGCTCGGAGAGCCGACGTGACCCTCCCCGCCCAGCCTGAGGACCACTGCAGGCCCCCCGCCCGGCTTGCTGCGCGCCGCACACGTGACCCCGCCCCCAGCCATTGGCCGGGCAGGAGGCGGGGCGGTCTCCGCGGCGCCTGCCGGCTCGGCCCACCCGGGCCTCACTCTCTGCGCGCTGCCGGCGGAGCCGCTGCGAGGTGCGAGCGCTGGGAAGGGGAGAGGGTCGGTCCGCCAGGGAGGCCCGAGCTGCGGGCGTGGGCACCGCGCACGCGCGGGGAGCGGCTCCGAGAGAGGGCGCGTCCGCGTGGCTGCAGGTGTGCTGGGCATCTCTGTCGCGTGGCGGAAGAGACCGGGGGCACCTAACTTGGGTTGGGGTCTGCGCAGGCCACACCTCCTTCATGCCCCAGCCGGAGAGCAGGGGCGTGGCCAAAGACACTTAATAGCCCTAGGGCTCCTCTAGTCTGCGAAGGGCTCCAAGGGGTGTTGGATATCCTTCAAATTAGGGAGAAAATGGAGGAGCACCCACCTTCTTACCGCCATGGCAATGAGAGGGCTGGTGCCCCGGGAATCGAGGCCCTGAAGGGGACGGAGGAGCTGGGGGTTCCTGGAGGGAGCTCCAGATCCAAGCTTGAAACGCTTCCCAGCGAATGAGCTCAGAAGTCCTTGGGTTCTGGTCCTGCCTCCTCCCCAAGTAGCAGTGAGCGCTCGGGCAAGCCTCTGCCTCTTCCCGGGCCCCATTCCTCACTCATCACCTGGGGCCACAGGCCGTCTGGTCCGAGGCCTCACTCGCCTGGTCTGCCGCAGAATGGGCATCTCCGCCTTGACCCCAGTGTGGGGCTCCCCGGGACTGCTCCTAACCATCGCCCTCTACCCGGCTCTCACCCTGTACCCTGCTAAGGCCTTAGCACCCACACACCGGGACTACTGTGTCCTGGGCGCCGGGCCCGCGGGCCTGCAAATGGCCTACTTCCTGCAGCGAGCCGGGAGGGACTACACGGTGTTCGAACGCGCCGCGGAGCCGGGCAGCTTCTTCACGCGCTACCCCCGGCACCGTAAGCTCATCAGCATCAACAAGCGGTACACAGGCAGGGCCAACGCCGAGTTCAACCTCCGCCACGACTGGAACTCGTTGCTCAGCCACGATCCCCGGCTGCTCTTCAGACACTACTCCGACGCCTACTTCCCCGACGCCAGCGACATGGTGCGCTACCTGGGCGACTTCGCGACGAGGCTGGGGCTGAGCGTGCTCTACAACACAACCATTGCCCACGTCACCCTGGAGAAGGCTCGGCAGGCCTGGAATGGCCATTATTTCATCCTGACTGACCAGAGGGGCCAGACGTACCAATGCAGGTAAGGAAGGGGGTCCCAGAGCTCACCTGCTGAAGCTGGGGCCTCTCCTGGAGGAACTGGCACTTCGTGGTTGGTCAGTTGGTGTGGGAGGAATGAGAAATCTGCCACCCCTTGCTCCCACTGAATTCAGGGCTGAGAGGTTTAGTTTAGCCACCATTTCCCACGTGTATCCTACAAATACTGTGCTCAGATATGTTTGGAAAATACTACCAATTCTTTCCTCTAGGATTTGTCAGTCTAATAGCTTCGTATTCACCACTGCCCTCCAGGAACACTGGGTCTTTAGCATTGCCTAACCACAGGTGCTGAACCTGGCCCTCCACCTTGTTTTATCTGGCTGGCACCTTGGTTTTACCCGGCGGCAGCACTGAGCTCTTGCTTAACTGTTAAGGAGGAGTTACATTTATACAGTCCTAAATTACATTCGGCCCTTTGAAGGCAATTGCGAGGCTGATGTGGCCCCTGGTGAAAATGAGTTTGACACCCCTGGCCTAAGCTTATGTCCCCACAGAACCCTTTTTGTAGAGCATCTCCGAGAAGGAGTGTCCCCCAGAGTACATGCTGGGAAACGCTGGGTCTGGCCAGTGTCAGAGGGGCTCAGTGGGACTTCAGAACTGCCCAAGCGGGAGACGGCCCTACGGTCAGGGCTACTGGCATTAAGTTTTAGCTCAGTGTCCTGCAGACAACCCAAATTCAGAGTTGCAAACGAAACTGCACTTGTTTTATCCTCACCAGAACCCCATGGGAGAGGCTCACTGATACCCATTTTACAGAAGAACTGAGGCTCAGAGACATTGCGTAACTGGTGCTACGTCACACAGCTTTCTAAGTGGCATGAGCCGCAGGGTCATATCTTACTGACCCTGAAACCCGTGTCCTGTCTGCTGCACCAGCATGCCTCTCACTTCCTGGCCGTTAGCCAGGCACCTGGCTCCCGGCAGGTGCTCAGAGCTCATCATCTCGTCTTTTGCTGGAGGCCCAGAGAAAGAAGGGGTGAGCCACTTTGGACTCTTGCATTTAAATAGCCGTGCTACCGGGTACGGGAGTCCGATTTGAGCAGAATGGACAAGAGTCGGGACACGGCGTGATAGGGGCTGCACGTGCCCCTTCTCCAGGCCAAACAGTCCGACTGTTGAAACCACCCTGCGATCAAATGATTCTGCAGTGTGGCAGGATCCGGTTCCCCAGCCACCCACCGCAGCCCCGCAGCCCCACCGACAGAAAGAGCAGGGCTTCAGAATCAGGCTGGTCTGGGGTCAGAGTCTGGCTCTGCTGTGTTTGGAGCTCTGGACGCCGGCCGGGGACTGTGTCTCCTCACCTGTGAAGTGGCCATGTAACGCCCGAGAGGGCTGCTCTGAGCAGAAAGGCGATGCACAAAGCCGTACAGAGCCTGGTCGAGAACTACTCGCAGCAGACGTTTGCGTCTGCCAGGCGAGTCAAAAACAGGAAAGTGAGGCAAAAAGTCTCGTTTCCATCACTGAGGGTGATACTTGGTCTGACTGCGTGTTTAGAATTGGATGCATTACTTGATTTTTCATGGTGCCACCTTCTCCTGCCCGTCTAAGTAATTCTCATGTTTGGTGTAATCCCAGCAAGGACTGAAGGAAACCATGTCCGCAGGAGTGAGCTCAGTGAGGGGCAGGGGCAGTCTCACATACACTGGGATGGGTCAGTGCGTGAATGAATGAATGAATGAATGAACGTCCTGTTTCCTTTTAGGAGCCAGCAGTCTGGGTCACATGGGCAAGCCAGGTGGCAGGTCCAAAGAGTGATTTTCACTTAGTGTCTTCCAGCTAAGAGACTAAGCCAGCCTCCCTTTGTCCCCCACCTGCAGCGTCCTTCTCGTCGCCACCGGTTTGTCAGTCCCCAACCTGGTGGACTTCCCCGGCTCCGAACACGTGGAAGGTTACGAGTCTGTGTCCGTGGACCCCAAGGACTTTGTGGGTCAGAATGTGCTGATCCTGGGCCGAGGGAACTCGGCCTTCGAGACTTCAGAGAACATCCTGGGTGTCACCAATTTTATCCACATGCTAAGCCGCTCCCGAGTCCGGCTCTCCTGGGCCACGCACTACGTGGGAGACCTCAGGTATGGCACGTGGCTGTGGCGAATATGGGGTGTGCCCCAGCCCCTCTGAAGCCGTCCTTGACCCCAGCGGGACTGACCACCTCTGCCTCTGAGTCTCCTTGCACCCGTCACAGACCCCTCTCTCTCTTCTGCCCTGTCCCGTGGGCCCCAGGGCCGTCAACAACGGCCTGCTGGACACCTACCAGCTGAAGTCCCTGGACGGGTTGCTGGAGTCCGACCTGGCGGATCTGGCCGTGGTGAAGGACCGCAGGGGCAAGTTCCACATCACCCTGAGGTTCTACGTGGAGGAGGGCAACCAGAGTGCCGAAGCCATCACCCTCCCCCAGGATGACAGTGACAACTTCGCCATGCGCGTGGCCTACGACCGGGTCATCCGCTGCCTGGGCTGGAACTTCGACTTCTCCATTTTCAACGAGTGAGTCCGAGTCGGGGAGGAGCTGGGATCCCGTGGTAAACCCCTCCGAGACCACCCTGGGGGAGCAGTGCCAGCACCGGGGCTTTTAATAGGGCTCCACCCTCGGCCCAGATGTGCATGCTGCCTGGTTTCCGCCCCGGCACGAGTTCCCTGTCGGCCAAGAAGGGTCCCTGTGGTCCTGGCCCCCCTATGGGGGGGAGGGGGCGGCGGCCACAGTGAGTCTCCATCTGTTGGATGTGTTGTGACCCTCCTCCAAGAGACGGGAAGGCCAGGACCAGGGGTGAATTTGCTGGCGGGCGGTGTGGTGGCGGGGAGCGCGGGCTCTGGGGTCGATCTGTGATCCTCTTACCACACCTGCGGGCTCCGGGAAAGTTACCGACTGTGCTTGGCCCCAGTTCCTCGTCGCTAAAATGGGGGTCGCAGTTGTTTTTTTAATAGGGCTATTGTGGGGATAAATATAGAAAAGTACTTGGCATATACTATATGCTTAATAAAATGTTAGCTGCTGAAATTACTGATAATTTTGAAAAACTGCTGTTTGGTTCCTCATCTTTAGATATTGCTGCCTCCTTTAGATATTGCTGCAAGGCTTAGGGTCAAAGAATGCATCCGGGGTCTCTGTTTCCTTCCAGCCAAGGCACAGGCGGGCAAGAACCTGGAGGGTCTGAAGTAGACCCTCCTGTCCCATCTGATCACACACAGAGCCCAGTCTTGTCCCACAGCCCAGCCTCGAGTCAGGCTTGAATCCTGACCTTGGCCCTGACCCACTGCGTCTTTTCCCTGAGCCACAGTTCCTCCACCTATTCATGGAGATGATCATACCCCCTCCTGGGTTGTGGCATGATTTAAATGCAATAAGGAATATAAAGCATTTAGCTCAGTACCGGGCCTATAATTAGTGTTGCATACACAGCAGCGCTGTTGTTAACAACATTTTCTGCTCACAGGTCCCTCCGGCTGTCTTCAGGGGGCGAGTTCAGCAAGAAGTACCCACTGATCAAGGCTAGCTACGAGTCCAAAGGAAGCCGTGGTCTCTTTGTCCTGGGCACGGCCAGCCACTCTGTGGATTACCGGAAATCTGCCGGGGGCTTCATCCATGGGTTCCGATACACAGGTGAGCCTGGGCAGAACCACCCCCAGGGTCAGTGGACACTGTTGCAGTTTCCAGCAGCCGTCAAGGGGATGCTCATTAGTAGTCAGTTGTTCCGTATTCCGTGTCTGGGGCAGATGGCAAGGGGTTTTCGTGCTCTGAGGATCTGTCTGGAAAGGCACCAGATAAAAGTACGTGATCTGGGGGGCATGTTACATGCCTCTGCCCTGTGCGGGTGAAACACCAAGTACTGGCGAGAACCTGGAGCTGGAGGAGTGGTAACCCAGGTTCCGCCCCGGCAGGCTGGCCTCAGAGGTCAGGCTTCACCACCTCTCTGAGCCTCTGGGGGGTACCCCAACATCCAAGGTGTGAATGAGGTGAACCCGTGCCCTCAACGGGCTGTCGTAAGGACTAAATCAGGCCGTGCCTGGGGACCATGCAGCTGTGAAGCAGCTCACACACACACAGTTTTTGGGCACCAACATATTTCAATAAGAATTGCAGTTGGATTATGTTCACTCTTTTTCCGAAGGCTAGGCACCGAGGGTGTAAACGTTCTGCCCTCTGGGGGTGCTGTTGGGTGGCTGCTTTGTCGCCTGCCGAGTGTTACGTGGGCCAGGTGATTCCGTCATAAACCCCGTAAAGGTCCTGCATCCTGCACTCTGGCGCCTCTGTGTCTACTTTGATGCCTCGTGCTGCCTTGAGGCTCATTTTTGCATTTCACCGCCCTCCCAGCACAGCAGGGGAAGATCAGCGCGTGTTACTGTTGATTTCCAGGCAGTATTTTTGCACCTCCTGTGCGCCGTCAGAGGAGGATCCCAGGGAGAGTGTTAGCTGTCTGTACGCAGAATATTTGCACATCGGTACGCGTGCGCACACAACGGGAAGAGGGGCTCTTCAGCTGCGTCTCCCCAGTGAGACACCCTCTCCGTCGCTCGGTGCACGCCACCCTCCCTGCACCCACTGCCCCGGCACACGCCGCCCCATCCCTCCCGCTCCCTTCTGCCCTCTGCCCTCTCCCAGCTCACACCCAATCCTCACAGCAGCCCCATGAGACAGACTCTGTTATTTCAACTCTATTTTGCAGTTAAGGAGACTGGGGCACAGAGAAGTTAAGGAACTTGCTCAAAGGCACCCAGCCAGTGGAATGGCAGAGGTGGGATTTGGGGCCACACCTGCCTGACAGAAGGCTCACAGCGCACAGCAACCTGTGGCCACTTCTGCTAGCTGAGGACCCCACGCGGGAGAGGGACAGGGTGGGCTGTACACAGCCCATTCCTCCAGGACCTTGCTCGTCATTCAGCGAGAAGCAGGCACCAACGGAGACAGTGTGGAAACAGCAGAGGCAGGGGGAAGCCACAGGAGATACAAGACGCTGTGCATGGCATAGACCACCCCAGCGTGGAAGGCGGAGAGGCAGGAGGCCCCACCCATTCCCTCATCTCTCCAGTCCCTCCCACCTCACTCTCCGTCTCCTGACTGGTCTTCCTGCCACAGGTCTTTCTGGCTTCCCATCGAGTCCAGCCACCGTAGTATCCACCAAAGCAACCTTTCTTTAAAAAAAAAAATCCTGCCTCTGCTGACAAACCTTGAGGGGTTCCCCATCTCCACAGGGAGAGCTGTGCGCCGGCCAGCACCAGCTTGCCTTTCCAGCCCGGTTCCTCGGCTGCCTCATCATGTGCCACACTCTCAAGATTTCATTTCTTCACCAGGGCACCATTCCCAAGCCCCTAGCTGTGTAATTCCTCCACCTTTTGCAAAACTCAGCTTAACCACGGTTTCCTCCAGAGAGCCAGCTGTCTAGTGAGGCTGCGCGTCTTGCTGTGACTGCTGGCCTGCGGAGTCCCCTGTCGCGTGAATTGTCTGTGTCCTTGCCCTTACTGCATTGGGGTGTTGTGTTGATGCGTTTTGGAGGAGCAGGCGCCTGTGTGTGGCACCCCCATTCGACAGCTGTATGTGGCAGCCCCAGGTTTTTCTCCCCTCACGTAAATACACGGAGCACCTTGAAATAGAACTTGACGACAGACGGGATTTAGGCTCGGGGGGAGAGCGAGCAGTCAGAGTTTTCCCGCGTAGGCGTCTGACAGAGGCAGGGGCGAGGGAAGGGGCGCAGTTGCAGAGAAGGGCTTTGGTCTCGTGGTGACATGCCACATGCGGAGTGATATCTGTGGGACTTCCAAATGCAGATGGCGGAAGGTTGGAGCGGGGCGGGGCAACGCTGGCCTAGGCACCCAGCCCAGCCACGCCCCCCTGCGCTTAGCGGTCCTCTGCGGCTGCTTTGCACCAGAGGCAGAGCCGATTGGTGCAGCGCACTCAGTACAGCCGACTCGGTACAGCCGAAGACGCCCCCTTCTGGTCTCTACGGACACCTCTGGCCGACCGCACTCTTCAGGGCGGCCTGGCGCCACGCACGCAGTGTGGGCTGAGTTCAGAGAAGCTGATGGGGACCTGTGTCCCTCCCGATGACAAAAGATAAATTCTTAAGCTCAGCGTGCCATTTCTCCCTCTGGCCATCTCAGTGCGCGCTGTTCACCGGCTACTGGAGCACCGCCACCACGGCGCCGCCTGGCCCTGCACTGAACACCCCATCACACAGCTGACCAGCTCCATCCTCCGGCGCGTGAACGAGGCTTCTGGGCTCTACCAGATGTTCGGCGTGCTGGCCGACGTCATGCTGCTGAAGGAGTGAGTCGCCCACCCCCACCCCACTCTGCCCTCCGCCCGCCTCACCAGTAACTGTACACTCCTCACGCCCCGCCTCTTCCTGTTCCAGGAGGGGGTGAGGGCAGGGGAGATGGAGTTATTCTGGAAAATGAAGTCACCACCACGCGCCCTGCAGACAGACACACAGTCCTGAGTGTAAATCTGGCCTGTGCCTGTTCTCCCTGTGTGACCTCGGGCATGTCAGTTAGCCTCTCTGAGCCTTTCATGTGCCCAATGGGGACAGTAGCCCCTACCTTGCAGGACTGGAGGAAGGACTAAAGGGAACTCTAGGAAGCGTGTGGCACCAAGTTAGACGGGCAGGAAGCTGTAACACAGTGTGATGTAGGAGTTCCCTGGGGCCAGGACCCAGCTGGCTCCTTATCAGTCAAGTGATAGAGGAACACCTGCTGAGCAGGAGACGGTGAGGAAAGGGTGGTGGGTGAGGACCTCGAAGGACAGGTGGCAGGTGAGAAGCAGAGGAAGGACAGCCTGGTCCAACGCCAGGGAGCACTACAGCACCCCAAGGTCAGCGACAAGAAATTCAGCAGCGCTCAGCACAGAAGCCTCCTATCATCCGTCACTCCCCGCTCTTTCACGCCCCTTCCCGAATTCAGACAGTCCGTAAATCCCGTCGGCTCCGCCTTCTGTCTGGAGTCAGACCTCCTCTCAGCAGCTCCGCCGCTGTCCCCTTGGCCCCGCCCACCAGCATCTCTCACGTGCAAGGTTACAGTAGTGGTCCTCTCTCATTGGTGGCCGGGTGGTCCTTTTAATACACGACTCACCCAAATTCATCTCCGCTCAATACTGTCCAGAGGCCAGGGGCTTCCCCTCAGTCCAGATGAAGCCAGAAGTTCCCATCACGGCACACACCAGCCCTCCTTAACCTACCTCCATGGACCTCCCTACCCCGCCCCGCCGCCTCTCCCCCTCGACTCCACGCCAGCCACCTGGCCTCTCCCTGTCCCTGGAACACACCAAGGCATTCACTCACCCCCTCCCACCCCCAGGGTTTTCTGTTACTCTTCGCTCAGCCTGGATCCCCTCCTCCTGACAGCCACGTCAGGTCATCAGTTCTCTGCATCCACCCCACTCGTGAGTCAGGGCGCAGCTGCGAGCTGCATTAACTGGGACGCACAGGGCTGACCACAGCCTGCGTGCTGTGTGATTGTTGCTTCTGGGCGCGGGGAGGCGCGCCCGTGCGCGCGCGCACACACGGGCCCACAGGCGCACACACGCCTCTGCCGCAGCACTGAAGGGGTATTCAGTGCTCTCCCGCCCTCCCGCTTTGCCACGCCCCCAGGAATGCCACCGCCTACGAGTACCTGGAGGAGTTCCCCGTGCAGATGGTGGCCCAGCTGGAGGCGATCACAGGAAGGAAAGCCAGGCATGGGCTTTTCGTCGTCAACATGGAGTACGGCAGGAATTTCTCGGGACCCGACAAGGACGTCTTCTTTTACGAACGGTCCGTGGGGCACACGGAGGACGCCTGGCGGTCTAACTTCCTCCACCCAGTCGTCTACTACTACAGGCACCTCCCCACCGGTGAGCTGGGTCCCTGCTGCCCGCCCCCCACGTGGGCTGTCCTGAGGTGGGCGCTCCCGGGGCCCTGCTGTGTGTCGAGCTGTCACCATCAATCCCTCACACGACACTCAGCTGACAGAGTGGACCGTGGGGCCAAGTGGGACACAAGGTCCAAGAATGACAAGTGACGTTCCCAGACTCTGGTCACACATGGAGGGGCGTGCCCGCCAGGCAGCACCGGGTGAGAGGGACACTGTCCTGCTGTGTGTCTCCCAAGGGGGCTGACCGCGGAGTGGGAAGGGGAGCCTGGGAGACTGTTGGGAGGAACGGGGTGAGGACCCGGAAGTGGAGTGGGGTGCTGGGGGACAGCACAGCTGGGGCGCACTCCCAGGGCTGTCCTGCCCTTGCTGTGTGACCTTGGACCATGTCTTAGCCTCTCTGAGCTCTGGCTGCCTGCTCTGTCAGACGGGGATAGAAACAGTGCTGTTCTGCCTTCCCTCCTTGTACGAGGGTACGCGAGGCAGTGCACACAGAACATCGGCACAGGGCAGCTCCCAGGAGGCGAACCACCGGGAGCCCGACTGCTGCCTCTGATCCTGAAGGGCTGTCCCTCGGAGGAGGGTCTGACAGAGGGCAGAGGTGGTGTCGGCAGGCGGAGGCGACAGGAGCACAGGAGCGACTGACGGCGCCGCCCCGCAGTAGAACAGGGTGCCTCCTAGGCTCAGACTCCCCAGCTCGGGGGTGCTGGGCTGCAGCTCGAGCCCTCTGGCAGGGACACTGCAGGAGGGTGTCCCCCACGGGTGGGAGGTGGACTAGGTGCGCCCTAAGGCCCCTCTGGGTGCGGGACCTGAGCCTCCTCGCAGACAGACCAGCTTCGAGGCATCCATGGTACACCTCAGTCTGTGTGAGCCTTAGAAAAACACCAGGTTCGAGTGATTAGTCTCAGTCCTGCCCTCCGATACCACCAGGGACAAGTCCAGTTTGGTCCCGCTCCCTCATGCTGACCTCCCAGCGTTCGGAGGTGGCTGTCAGGCCGGCTGCCCGCAGCCAGCGCAGAGGCGGAGGGGGCAAGCCGAGCGTGCGTGGGCGAGGTAGGCAGTGGGTCACGGGCAGGGACCGCCCAGCCGCTGGACTCTGACGTGGCCCTGCCTCTCCCCCACAGAGCAGGACGTGAGGTTCCGCCCCGCGGAGTGGCCCCTGCCTCGGCCCACGGCCATCCACCACATCGTGGAAGATTTCCTGACAGACTGGACCGCCCCGGTGAACCACATTTTACCGCTGAGGCGCTTCCTGGAGAACTGTTTGGACACTGACCTGCGAAGCTTCTATGCAGGTAACCTGAGATCCCAGGGGAACGAAGGGACTGAGCCAGGGGTTGGGAAGAGACCGGATAGGTCCGGGCGCTGGGATGTTTCAGGATGCACATCGGGAAACGCCAGCCCAAACCTCCACTGCCCGCAGCGTGGTGGGCTGGGTGTCACAGAACGCCCCCCGGTACAGTGCACCTGAACACGCTGAACAATGTGTCTTGTGTAAAGAACTGGCAGGAAAACAAGGGAACCTTCCAGAGTCCAGATACTCAGAAAAGCAAAACCTGAGGCTGGGTGTGGGTCACCTGCTGGCCATCAGTGGACTGGGGCTGGGGTAACTGAGCACCCGGGGGTGGGAAGGTGAGGCTGGAGCAGGGCGATGGGTCCATTCAGAGACCGTCTAATAGGCCTGGACCTCGGTGGGAAAACTGGGCAGCGGAATCACTCCCGGGACGAGATGGTGGAGACCCGTGCTCGCGGCCCCGGGTGGGTCGACGGGGGAGAAGTTGCCCCTGAGCAGTCCCAACCGCTGGGCCCCGCTCGTGGGAGCTTGGGGCCAACCTGCACGCGGTCACTGTGGCTCAGAACCCACAGAAGTGGCCGAGAGTCTTCTGTGAGGAGGCACACGTTAAAGCCAGGCCTCAGAAAACTCCCACGGGTCCAGGCCCAGGAACTCCCAGGCGAAGGTCGCTGAGCACACACGGACACAGACCCCCCGGGAGGCAGTGTCGGCGGCAGACAGGCGACCGGGCTCCCACCAGGCCGACTGCGGGGACTGGGGTGGCCAGGGAGAGGACACAAAGTCCGTGCAACAGATGTGATGCCAGGGAAACGAGACAGCTGGAAACACAACCGACGGGTCAGTTTTGACAGAGATTCACGTGAAACTTCTGGAGATGGAAAAAATGAGCATCCAGAAACTCAACATAGAGATGCCGTAATGAATTAAACAGAGAGGAAGGCAGAGTTGGTAAACTGGCAGATAGTTTGACAGCCGAACTCGAAGAGGGACTTGGGGAGAGATGTCTGAAACGGGCAAGCTTTTGCCTTTCCTCACCCCCCAAGTGCCCAGAACACCCACGCTTTTCTGTTCGGCAAACACCGGTCAGGGTCCCACTCACATCTGGTCGGGTCGGAGACAGCCGGGCTGTGGCCCGCGGGTCAGAGAGCAGTGCCCTTGTTTCCTCCCCGGGGGACGCCCCCAGTCCACATTTGAAATTAAAATGTATGTATTAAGGGAGACGGCTTAAAACAGTAGTTTAAGTCAGTAGCCTAAATATACATAGATGCTGCAGCCAAGGTCATTCATAGTTAGCATTCTGCAAACTCCCAGCTTACACATGCAATTACGAGGTCGAGAAACCTCAGCTACAAGTCCCCGCCTGTGTCTCCAGGTGTCAGGAGTATGTGAAGATGCCGGTGTGCCTCAGGGGCTCCGTTCCCACCCCGAGGTCTGGCTCCTACCAGTGCATCGTCCCAGCCCTTGAGGCCCCTGGCTTCTGCTCCCCACATACATGCGGCTCAACGGTACAAACCACTGTGTGTCACTGCCTCGAGCTTGGAAGAATCCTTCCTGGTGAAGGGCCAGCTGGCAGATGGCGGGCTTTCTCTCCACCCCCTCAGCTGACGTGCAGCTGCCGGTTCTGGCCCCGGGTTCTGAGCGGCTTCCCTGCCCCTGGCGCCTGCAGAAGGCGCTGCTTGCGAAAAGCCAGCTTGCTGTCCCTCTGCCGTCCTCCCCCCAACACCTGCTGTCTTCCCCGAGCGGAGAGGACTGTCAGGGCCTGTGCCGCCAGGGACCCTCTGTGCTATGGATGGGAAACAATACGTGTTTGGGCAGCAGCCTGCTCACCCACAAAAACCTCATAACATTCTTTGCGATACACGGGTGGGCAAAACTGGGTTTACAGTTGCACCGTGACACTCTTTTGAGTTAATAAAGCTCTTGCGATAGCATAACCTGCATGTCTTTTTTCCACACGGACAACTGCAAACCCACGTTGCCCACCCCTGTGTGCCCCCTCTCTGAGATAAAAGGCTCGGGCTGGTTTTCTGGCATGCATTCCGTCTTCTAATCCCTCAGGAGATGTAGCCTCTATCTGTTTCATCTTTTCTACTTTTTAAGTCAAAGTTACGTAATGCTTGGCTAAAAGGCTTTTCCCCCACCCATGCTCGTTCTCCAGGAGCTACTTCTAGCTCTTCCGATGGTTTCTTCCCATTTCCAAATGGTAAGTATCCACGTGATTTCCCGACGGGTCAGATTCGACCTGCGCACCAACTGCTGTGGGGCAGACACGGATAAATCACAGATGTGGATGGACCTGTTTTGTCTTTTTTATTTTTAAGGATTTTACTTATTTTTAGAAGGCAAGAGAGGGAGAGGAACATCAATGTGCAATCGGTTGCCTCTTGCATGCCCCCCAACTGGGGACCTGGCCTGCAACCCCGGCATGTGCCCTGACTGGGAATCGAACTGGTGACCTTTTGGTTTGCAGACGGGTGCTCGATCCACTGAGCCACACTGCCCAGAGCACTCATTTAGCCTTTATAACCCCACAGTGCCGAAAACAGGGCTTACACACAGCGTTTGCAGCTCTGATGTTGCTGAGGGGATAAATCTTTGCAGCCAGCTCTGACCTCAGAATGGAATGGAGGGTCACTCTCAAGCTGCTGAGTCCCCACCCCAGGCCGGCTCCAGGCAGAGCACCCTGCTGGAACCAGCCTCTGGAAACTGAGTCATTCCTGTGGTTTGCTTTCATTGTGGAGCCTTGTTCTTCCCACAGCCAGGGCAGCCTATTGCTGGAACCTCTGAAGGGGCTGAGTTCCGTGGCCACTCGGGGCCGAGTGAGGTACCCAGAAAAGTCGGCTCCAGGCTCAGGGATGGAGGATCCGGGGGAGGCCCCTGGGGCCCTGGCAGCGCCTTCCTGCACCTCTCCCCACACCTCTCAGCCCGACTCATTCATCTCCTTTGGCTTTTCTCTAGAGTCCTGTTTCCTGTTCGCCCTGACACGCCAGAAGCTGCCGCCCTTCTGCCAGCAGGGGTACCTGAGAACGCAGGGGCTGGTGGGAACCAGAAGCCTCCGGCAGCACAGAGTGGACAGCAGGCTGCTGCAGGACTATGCCACCGCGGGCAGGCGCACAGAGGACAGTGGCCAGTGGCCTGGCTACCACGGGCCAGGAGACCAGCCCCAGGCTCCAGGGCCTCTGGTCCAGCCCCTCAACAGTGACAGGGAGGAGCTGTGATGCCCAGGTTCCCCACCTCACCCCAGGCCCACAGTCAGCCTGCCCTCCCCGCAGGCCCACACCCCCACCGGTGTGTGATTGCCAAAGACCACTGGGACCATTGCAGGGACTGCACCAAAGCCACACAGAGGGCAGGTAGAGGCTAGGTGGGGCCCACAGAAGGGCACCCTCTGCCAGATAGGAGCAGCCTTGCACAGCCAGGCTTGTCTGTAAGTGAATGGTCACTGAGCATCAGGCTGCCCTCAGTTCTGCCTCCATCAAGGTCCCAGAGGTTCCTTTTCCTTCTGGCCTACTCTTCAAGTGGGCCCAAATCCCAGCCTTCGGCGGGGCATTTCACAGGTGAAACCCATCATCTTCATAAGGTTTTATAGCAGGCTCTTTTACACAGGAGCTCTAATACCCTCAACCACCTGGGGCAGGTAGAACTAGTACCCCTGATGGAGACACCAGCTCAGAGAGGTCAGGTGACTCCCAGGGTCCCGGCCAGGAGTCCCTGTCTGGGTAGCCCTATAGCCTGTCACACCACACCGCCCCCATCTCTGTTTCCCGAAAGTGGGGGCGGGGAGCTGGGCTCCTGGCAATGGGCCCCGCGGCTGTTACCAGGCGGAATGAGCCACCTTATCGAAGCAGGCCTCTCCCTGAGTAGCAGAGCTCGGAGCCGCCTTCCCAGGGCTGCACGCCCTGACTTATCCTCAGTCTCTGTCTCCTCCTTTCGTCCCGCCCTGTGACTCTCCGAACACCCATGTCTCTGGCCCATCAGGTTCTGTCAAAGCGGCGCCGTACTGTCCTTCGGCGGGGATTCTTAGGAGATGATTCACCCCTGTTTGGGCAGAGCCCCGCTCAGCCTGTCCAGAGACATTTGTAAGTGCGTTTGCACAATTACAGTGACGAACTTCAGTTTCCGGTCCCCTCAGCCGGTCTGGCTCTTCTCCATGATCCTTCCTCACCAGGAACCCGTTCCCTTCCTTACTCTCCCATCAGGCGTGTCAGCCCTGTTCGTGAGTGAGCCGTGGGAAAGCACTGCACACACAGGAATCCTGGCGTCTTTCAAGGCCCGGGATCCCACGTGGTTGCTTTCTCTCTGGCTCTCGCTGGCCCTTCATGTAAAGCACTCAGTTTGAGGGACCCAGGCTTGCTTGCTCCGAAGCTGTTTTCTGGGACTGTTCTCTTGGTCAGATACAAACGCCCTGCCCCCCACCCCCGCCTGCAGATGCTGCTCCCTCCAGTCTCTGCGGAGTTAGAACTTAGCCTGTGGCAGATTTCACGCCACGATGATACTTTGCAAAGTTTGCTCGAGGCTAAAACTTCTAAATTAAGCTATCTTTCTAATCCCAGGGCGATGGTACAGATTACAGGTGAACCAAAATTGAGTCCATCAGCCCACCTTTCCTTTCCAAAACCTTTTCTAAAGTGAATCATTTACGTAGGACTGTACCTATAAGACCAGACTCTGGTCACACACATCTTGCTTCCCCGACTGCTGAAGAGTGGCTGAGCCCCTTCTCCAATAAAAGTTCGAGGTGCTGTAGCAGTTTACTGATGCCTGAGTATGTGACACCTGCTGCTTTTCCCATCACCTGCCATATTGTTAATGCCATCAGAATATCAGCCAGCCTTACTGGTGTCTAACAAGACACCGCTCCAGTCCCGCTCAGCTGAGATGTCGGAGCAAATGTCCCTGATAGTCTCCCAAGTCAACAGCTGGCTTCAGCCAGAGGAACACTTCCCTCCCTGAAGACCGTCGCTGCGTTTGCTGGGGCTCCTTCCTCCCCCTCCCGCCCAGCGGTTCTCCTTGCGGCCAGCTGGGCCAAGTTCCTCCTCTGGCCAAGGCCTGGCTTCATTAATTCCTCCTTTTTTTTTTTTAATATTACAAGGTCACTGGTGCAAAATAGACAAATCAGTGAAATAAGCCAGAAACACCCTATTCTAAGTAAGAAGGAGGTGATTTTCAAAAGAAATCACAAACCATCAAGGAAGAGTATGCAGGAGCATGCAATGAACTAATGTGGAACCACCTGGTTAGTAATTTGAAAAAGAAAATACATCTCATTTTAGACCCTGTTTCATACTAGACTTCAGAACCAATTCCAGATGAATTTTTTAAAGCCATATAAAAACTAGAGATGGAGCGGGAGTACTTTGATAAAAGAAAGACCTTTCCAAGTCTTTAGAAGCAACAAAGTAATTTCCCAGATAACAAGGTTTAACATTTCCAAGTATACTCACCTGGCCTGTACCTAATTAATAGGACTAATGGGACTACTTTAAAGAAAAGGGTAAAAATTAAAAGGCGAAGCAACATGGGCAAAAAATAACTGCAGCAGACTATATCAAAAGTAAGTAATATCTATTATATGTGGCACTGACGGAACTAAAAGAAGAACAAAGTCGGCTCTGGCACACCCCCAAACGCATATGGCACAGCTCTCGACTGCGGAACCGGAAAGACGGTGTGCCGCGGACACGGGCAGTACAGTCAAGCGAGGGGGCAGGACATGGAGTTGTGGCTGCAGCCACTTCTACCGCCCGAAAGCAGAAACCACCCACGGGAACCACAGGAAGGAAGCATCACGAAATGTCATCTGTGGTGGTACCGTGTTTGCAGAGCTTTTTTTTTTTTCTTCATTTTGCTTTTTTCCTCTTTTGTCCAAATGTGTGGTTATACTCTACAGTGAAATACTTGTTTTTTTTTTAAATCGCATCTGTTTGGCATTTAAAGTCACTGGGGGTGAGTGGAGCTGGGGCCCCTCCCAGAGGGGTGGGGTCCCCCAGGGATCACCCCACCACCCAGCTGGGCAGACGCACGCCAAGAGTGGGGCAGAAAACGGTCTTGCTCTAGAGCAGTGAATGTTAGGTGCCGTGCGTTCCTCTTCTCGAGTCTCCAGCCCGACCGACCCAGCACAACAGAGATCTCTGGGAGAATCTCTGCTCCGTGATAGAGAGTGAAAGATTGGAATCCTCATTCTGTGGAGGTCCCCTGGGTGTCACCCCCAATCCATTGGAGGGTCCCAAATTCCTCTCGCCCAATAAAACCAGGGTGGACCCCAAAGCTGCCTAGAAATTGCCTCACCAAGAAGGGAATTTGCTAAGCCAAGTGTAACATCTAGTCATTTACTGGGCACCCACCACACCACCCAGAACTGCGCTGTGGTGGTGTTAAAGATACATCCACAGATTCTTTGATATTTCTCGCCCAAAGAGGGGGAGGACTTACTCACTTAAAGCAAATAAAATACATCAGAAATGATGGGATGTCGTTTTCAAGATTGAGTTATTAAAAAGTCACATTCATCCACTGAGAAACTATGCTCTCCACCCGCCACCCCTCTGTCTCTGGAGCGCCCCCTGGAGGAGGCCACCTGTCATGTCAAAAGGACATTCAGCATGTAGAGGCCCACAAGGCAAAGAACTAAGAGCTGCTGACGGCTATGTGAGTGAGTCTGGAAGTGGACCACGCTCCAGGCCAGGCTTCGGATGACCTCGGCCCCCGCCACCACCTCGAACATGGCCTCATGAAAGACCCTGAGCCAGAACCACCCAGCTAAGCAGCTGCCTGATTCCTGAGCCAGAGAAACTCGGAGATAATGTTTTGTTTTAAGCTGCTAAGTTTGGGGGGTGGGGGAGTATTGGTTACACGGCAATAGATAACTAATACATGCATTAATTTACCTACGTTAATTTAATTCTCACCACGATCCTAAGAGGTACATATTACTATTCCTAGTTTCCAGATGAGGAAGCTGAGGCTGGGACCGATTCTAGTGCTTTGACAACCCACCTCCTTCAAGCCATCCTGCAAATACTAAACAATTAAAGCAACCTCCTCCTTGTCACCATCCCTGCAAGTTTCCCTCAGGTGAACGCTGGGTAACAAAATATCGAGACCAAACCTAGGGAAGTGTGTGGTTCCCACAGGAAGGCAGAGACATGTTGCAATGACACAGAAAGTACCCTCAAAGAGAGCACTGACCCGCTGCGCCAACCCAGACGCCCTGGGACCCGGGCAGGGTCGGATGACCCCAGATGGGAAGAGGAAAGCCCTCCCGAGGCTGGGGCGTCGGCCCTCGCCAGGCTTCAGCCTCAGGACGCCGGCTCTGACCAGTCACAGCCTCCTCCCCAAAGCCAGCGTGGATCCTTCCCTGGAGGAGAAACCAGAGGCTGCACCCTTTCCCTGCAGAGGCTTATTGAGTATGGTAAAAATGCTGACTGGGGTATGGTTTTTGTCAGACTGCAGGCTTTAAAAAACCATTTAATTCAATCTGCCATCCCAGACGGAATGTAAATCTGCTACAAAGTGAAGTTGATGGGCAAATATATGAGATGCTGTAGCCCAAGTATTTAATCTGAGTGCATCACACCACCAATCCATCAAGCCTGGAATAAAAAATAGCATGCAACAGATGTATTCAAGCAGCGGAGAAAGGCCCAACAGAATGTCTCACTCCTTTGTCGGTTCTGCATAAAGAAGGCTGATTTGCCTGCTCTTCTGGAGAAAGCCCCGAGCTTAGAGCAAACTGCAAAATCTTTGAAAAGTGTGTCACTTGCTTTTTTATTCTTTTTTGAGATGTTACCATCCCAGACCAGTTTCTCACGTCATTCCAAATCATTACACATTAATTAGGTACAGAAAAGTCCCACCAACAGAAAAAACCAACAACGCACTAGCTCAGAATGTTCGTCATTATCCGCCATTGTGGTTTAGAACAAAGCAGCTGCAAGAACACAGGAGACACCAGCCACGCTTCAGTTTTAAACAGGTCAGTCTATTGGGAAAAGAAAAGGGGCCCAGAAGCCTCTATTGTAGGCACTGTGGTAGGCAAATAGCCAAAAATTCTTTTTTTTTTAAGATTTTATTTATTTATTTTTAGAGAGGGAAGGGAGGGAGAAAGAGATAAAGAGAGAAACATCAATGTGCAGTTGCTGGGGGCCGTGGCCTGCAACCCAGGCATGTGCCCTGACTGGGAATTGAAACTGTGATGCTATGGTTCACAGCCTGCGCTCAATCCACTGAGCTACACCAGCCAGGCCAAAAATTCTATGACCACTCCTATCACGATGTGAGGTCTAGGTCGCACCCCCTTGATTAGGGGCCTCTGGGACTGTTCCGACCGCACCATGGGGGGAGTGGCACCATGACAGTTTCTGGGCACAGGCCCTCAGAGACTGGAGACCTGCACCAGCTCCCCAGGAACCCAGCCACCCTCCGGGGGGGAAGCCCCAGGGAGAGGCCCATGTGATGGCCAGCACCAGCTCGCAGCCGCGTGGGTACACCATCTTGGAAATGGATTGTCCGGCCCCATGTGACCTCCCCATGTGGGGCGGAGATGAGCTGTTGCAGCCAAGCCTCACCCAAATTTCATGTTTATGAGCAAAATACATTTGGGATGGCTTCTTACACAACAATAAGTTAAGTGGGATAGGTACTATGGAGCAAAATAGAAGGTGATTACTGAAGGTAAACTTGTAAGAGCAGACATAATGTCTGCATTAGCTATTGTTAAGAGCCATATTATAAAGATAATTGCAGAACACGCCCATCAAGGCACTCTACGTAAAACGTAGCTATGGTATTGCCCGCTTTGGTGTACCTAAGGCACACTGAGGGGTCAATGACGAAGGGAAAAGAAAAGAAGAGTGAGCAAGCTACATCCAGGAAGCCAGCGCCTGGAGACTCAGTCGGTACATGTTATGTGGTTGCCCGAAATCAACTGGTGGAGACTCAGGAGTCTGATGTCTGTCTGTCCTTCAGGTGAGCCACAGCAGCCTGCTGTCACGTGCACGTGCAAGTCAGCAAGACAAACAGGTGTCTCACCGGGTTCTCACACTCTGTACTTCTAAAGGGTTCGCACCTACGCAAAAGTGAACTGGCCCAGCATGACTTTCACTGATCAAAGGACCCTCCTCCGGCATCAAAGATTCCCCAGTTTTGCCAGACATCAATTGACCGAGAAGTCATGCGGCAGATTGAAACGTCGTTGGACTTGAATAAAAGAGCCCGTGTGACATGCATGTGTATGGTTGGCATGCATGCCTGCCTTTGGAGAATCCACTGAGCTTCCACCCGACTCTATGGGGGCCACCCGCCCGCCACAGGGGCAGACACATTCAGGCGGGAACTTCGGTGACAGCCAGCATTGATGACTTGTGAGTCGAACAGGCCTAGTCAGTCTTGCCTGAGACTTGATACGTGGACCCAGGGAGGGAGAAGAACATTCCTCTTTTTAGAGTGTAAAACCAAAGCTTGTCTCCTGTGACTGGCAGCAGCCCTCTTTCCCACTGCGCAGAGAGTGACGCCAACGGGCTGCAGAAAACAAAACGAGGGAGGGGAACTCGCCAGTGACGCTCCCTGGGCCCTGATCTCGTCGGGGCCTCAGACAGCAGCACCCTTAAATGTGGCACCCACTCCTGTGGCCCAGTAGGTCCACTTGGATGAGCCGATCTGAGTTGGTGCCCGACACTTATACCGCAGAAGAATCCTGACTTACACAGCCTCCAGGAGGGACACTCTTGGGGGCAGGCTAAGGGGCTTCC